CAGTGCCAAATTTCAGCTTCTGCTAAACGAAGAATTGGATGTCTGTTTGAACAGCACACTGTGGACCTATGGCACATTGACTCTTTGGAAATAGGAAATATATATATTTGACTGACCTCCAGCCAACCAGAAATATATCCTCTGCATAATCTTGCCAAAATGTCATTTGGTTGTGAACAGGGCCCTTCATTTGTCTTCGGAGAGCTTGCATATCAGGTGCCAGGCCACTGCAGGCTTTTCTGCTGTTCCTTCGTTCTCCTAGGCAGCTGTGCCTTTGATGATGTGGATTCGTGAAAAGTTACCATTGTCCTCCTTACCTGTGTCATGAACTTCATTGTTACCTTATTGGATTATCTGTTGGGTGAGGAATTTTTTTTATAGTTTAGTTTCTAATAACCATTTGATTGGTGTTTAAGTGTATTTCTAAAATTTGAACCTATTGGTTCTTTCCTTTTAGCCCTTGTATTATATCTCACATTAAGTTCTCTTCTGATGCCAATTGGAAATTTTAATCTACCATTACTAGGTTTAAAAATAAGTTCTCTTTTGCATATGAGTAGACAGCTTTAATCATGATTTTTTTAACTGCTTATCACTGTTTACTTAGCTATGCTTCTACTTGGTGATTGATATGTTTTCTTTTTTTAGTTCAGAATTTCCTGCAATTTTTTAAATTTCCTGTCTATAATGTATATAACATAAATAACACTTAATTGGACTAAGTAACATTTCATTTTTACTTTTCTAGAAAAAACATCCCTGTTTCTGGATATGTAAATAGGGATGGAAACTTACAAACCTAATGTTCTTTTTAAATTTCTTGATTATTCTGCACTTACAGTCCAAGTCATCAACTTGGCCCTGCTAACACATCACCCACTCCTGTCTGGCTGTCCTCACCCGGGACCTCTCAGGTGCCAAATTTATCACCTTCCTTCCAGCACTGGTTGATATTTAAAATCTTGATTTCATTTTTCTTGTTCTTGTATACAAATGAAATGAAATTCCTGAACCAGGTACAGCTAGTTCTTTGGAGGCAATGGGTGAGACTATATTTGGTAACAGAGAGAACTCATCTGAGAATAGCTATTTAGTGAAGACAATTTTCATGACAGTTCATCTTAAGGATCTATTCTGTGATGTTCTTACTAAGTGTTGTAGTTGTAGAAGACACCATGTCTGGTCCCCCATTCACCACAGTTTATTATTATTCACTTTTGGGGAATGACTGGCATTGTTACTTAAAGGATGGCCCAGATGGTCATCCTATAGACCACTGGGAATGGGCTTAAAGCCCCGAAGCAGCTGATGAATGATGGAACATTGATCACTCACCTCATCCCTTCCCTGGACTAATCTTTCATCTGTACCAACCAATGGCTATCTATATGGAGAGAGAAAAATAACAGGCAGAGATGTAAGCAGTGAATGCTGCTCACCCTTGTTCTATGGGGGGCTGAGCACTCTGGTCTGGGGCATGAGGATGACCAACACCTCTTGGTTGAAGCTTTGTCACTGATTGCTCCTGATCTGTCATTGTTGCTGCCCTTCCCATAAAGCATGACTCTGAGCAGGCAGATAAGCTGCCAATCTTCTCAGCCCTCTTTGTTCTATATGCCTTCTAGAGGCATTTTTCTGAATGTACTCAAGTCCAGTCATTTTTTAAAGGTAATTTAACTGTGGTGATGATCTCAGGAATTTTATGTGTAAATTTAATGTAAACTCATCTCCATCACCATCTTTTATTCCAGAAACACTTTTTTCCCCCTCATATTAACAAGATGAAACTTTCACCTATGGAAGAAGGATTTTTTTTTTCCTTAAAGCAAGAGAAAAGACGTGGAAGCATCCACGACAAAATCAGCTGCAACACAGCTTTGCTTTTCTACAGCTTTAACTGGGACCAGCTGTCAAGTTCTTGAGTGTTGAGGTGTTTGAAAAATCTTGACTGAAAGGCTCTAAGACCACAATGATGATGGGATGTTATGCTGGGAAACATTAGCCCCAATTCTCTCGAAAATGGTCATGCTGGAAAACATGGAGGGCTTTCTGATGTGTTTCATTCTCTCTCCACTATTTGGGTCCCCAAAGGGATCTTCATATATGCCTGTGACTTCTTTGCAGGAACAAAATCAGCTTTTACATGAGATAGAAGTCACACTGGCCCCTGCTGTCTGATATAGGGGAGGGGACCCTATACATAAGGGGCACCAGCAGTGCCTCTCGAGTCCTAATTATTATTTTAAGCACCTGCCTTAAAAGCAGTAACAATCGATTTTAAGGAGGTAGATGCTGAGAGGCAGAAGGCACTGTGGTTATGTATACAAGCACCAGAGAGCCAAGCTGCCTGCGTTCAAATCTTGCCTCAGTCCCTCCCAGGCTGTGTGACCTTGAACAAGTTACTTTATCTCTCTGTGCCTCTATTTCCTCTGCAAAATGGAGCAAATACTAGTTCCAACCTCATAGAGTGGCTATAAGGATTAAAATTTGATACATAAAGTACATAGTAAATCTCAATAAATGTTACCATTAATCATTAATAATAGTTTTATTTATTCTGAACTGCTTTATTACTCTAGTTTGTAGCATTTCTCAAAGTCAAAATGAGGAACTGTCAACTCAGGGACTTGTTCAACAGTCAAATTAAAATGTCATTAAAAGAAACACAGAAAGATGGGGTTACTTTGGGGTTATTTGGAGGTTTCGTTGTTACTTTGGTGGCTTAGTACAGGACTGGTCTTTGAACTTAGCACAGTATGGTCTTTGTTAAAACATTAGGATTTTGCCAGCTGGGGTTTCCCTTTCCATACCCTTCCTAGGATCTGATTAGAATTTCAAGGATCATCTCCTTAATGATCTGTCTTATTAAATGATTGGATAGCCATGAACAGAATACATCAGTGAGAAAGAGATGTATTATTTATTTTTTTGTCTCAGCATTAGCATATCCAATTTTTTTTTATGACTACTCTACAACCTTCCATAGTTAACTTTTCTAAGTATACTCTGCTGCCATAGAGGTTTCTACAAAGAGGGATGATGCTATCACAGAGTTTAAAAAAGATTCCAAGTATATACATCCTCTCTCTTCTCACAGTTGGCTAATCTAAATCTGTTAATCCTCTCCTTAAAACTCTAGAAGTATAGGATTATGATAAGCCAGAGAAAGGGGGAAGGGGAAGGGAGGGTGTTTTGTAGGGGAACTACAATGGGGCTGGAAACTGCATTGTCTTTGCTTGTGCCCAGTCTTTTGAACCATGAATTGACTTTAGTTAGAAATCACAGCTTTTCTTTCAATTTCTTCCAATGGGAGGGAAAAGCCAGACCTGCCCACAGTTAATGAGATCTTGCTGCCTTAAATAACATTGGAAAAAGCAGTGTTGACTTGTTCTCTTGGAGACTACACATACAGCCCACAGTCTCGTTGGCCCTTTTCATTGCTGTCAAACATTGTTCTGATTTTTATTCCTTAGTGCATTATTGATGATCATCCCTAAGTCAGCACTCTTTTCTGGCTCCTCTTCTGTCTTTTGATTGCTTGTGACTTGTCTTCATACTCAGCTTCATTACTGCACTCTGCATGAGCCCTTCACATTCTCCTACAAATGGCTCCCTTCCCTAAGATAACCAACAGCTTTATTTACACGGATGGCAACCTACTTGCACCTCATAATGACCTCACAGTGTTCCTTTCTTGTCCATACCCTTACCAGAAGTGTTTGGTTCGTCTCCTTCTGTTTCTTATTTCCCAAATCAATGTGACATTGATTTCACTCATTTTTACCTATTACCTATCTTAAAAGTCTAAATCCATTTCTGGTGCTCAGGTATCTAAGGCTGAAAGACAGCAAATTGCTATACTCTCTCTTTAAGAGGGAAGGAATGGAAATCTGAAAGTCAAATACTTTCATTATGTTTCCTATGCAAGTGAGGAACTTGTTGCATGTGTTCCTTTTATAAACATAAAACATTTCTGAGAGTTTGGTAATTACAAGTTTAGAAGTTGCAATGACCAAAACAAAAATTATAGTAGCTGTTCCCTGGATTGCTCTGTATCAACATTTTTCAGCATGATTTAATTCTACCCTCCAGTCCTTAGAGACCCAGTACATCCTCAGAGGAGGCTGTCTTATTTCTCCTGTCATTCCTTCAAATAATTGCTGATAACAACACAAAAAAACCTTTTTGATAATCATCACAATTGTGGTTGGCATTAAGGGTAGTCCGTGTTCCTGAAGTGTATGTTTAAGATTGTCTCTGCTTCCCTTACCCCAAGTAAGATTGGAATTTCTAATAAATCACTGTTGTGCAAGTTGGCAGTGTGCTGGCCATATACATATACCAAGTGCATTCCAACCTAGAGAAATATTAGTGGAGACTTAGAAAAACTGTGACTGTGGACACTATGATACAAGTATTTGGCATATTCAGAATTTCCTTTCTTCCCCAAATACTGTGTTTTGTTTAATGAATAAGATAGACATCCAGATCCATTACAGCAGCCAGTCTTGGGCTGCTAAGAGTTTTGAGTATAAGGTTGTTGTTAAAGCTATTGAACTTGTAAGATATTTCCTTAAAATGCCTTCTTATGGCTTGTGGTAGGCGCTGAATGAATGCTTTTATCTCCTAATGCATGCAAATTAATATTATTAATTTATTATTTAATATTACTAATAGTAATGCATATTTTGAGTCTTTGAGGCTGTGTCTTACTATGTAAATAACCACTTTTTCCCTAAATTAATATCATGTGTCCACCAAGAATTCAATAAGGCTAAAGGTTTCATTAAGATGCACTGCCAGGTAATAACACTGTAACCAGTGTACTATGGAAATAGGTAATGAAGGAAGACTGGAACTTCCTTCTGTAGACAGTCTCAAATGTAGGATGAACAACTTCCTCTTGATCTCAGATGATGTGCGGATATCCTGCCTGGTGAAGAAAAGATGGACTTGGGAACCCTGCCATGACCCTTCTGACATCAGGACACATTACAAGCTGCTTTTCCACTGCTAATTTTATTCATGCAGTGTTATGTGCAACACACAAGTACACAAACACAAATCAATTCAGAAGTTCCTCCCCTGAAGAAAGGCTTTTTCCAGTGTTGTTTATCTTCTGTGCAATAATAGCTCTTCCTTCTTCATTACCCTGGTGGTAAGAGAACAATATCAGGGAAGAAAAATGAATTTCCTTATAGAGTATTTCTTATCTGTTCAATTAGCACAACTAATATAGTGAGATACGGTGATTTCTCAATTAATGAATCATATGGAGAAAAAGCTCTATATATGGTTAGTTGCATTCAAACCCACACCCCATGCAGGCAGGTTGTCTTGACTAGATGAGGCAGAACTGCCTGCATGCCAGGTACTGTGATGTCCACTTTAATTTGTCTTAAACCTGGCAATGTACTTCATTAATTTTACATTCTGTGTGGGAACATCATTTTATATGGATGGTGTTCATGAAGACTGGCTCTATGTGCATAAAGCTTTTCATTTTAAAATGTATTTAAAAGGTTAATTTGACCTATTATTTAACATTTTAAATAATAGAAAGTTATTATTTTAAAATGTATTTTAAAAGCTAATTTGACCTATTAATATGTTCAGTCCCAATCAGCAAATCACACAGCTGTGAAAAATATTTTGTTTACAAAGCCAAACCAAAAGTTTATGTTTTTCTTCCTTAACTTTGATATAAACACTAACATTTTTTAGCATGTATAAACATCATTATTAACTGGTGTCCTGTTAAAACTCCTTTTCTATGATAGTCTGTGCTCTTAGGTGGATAAGGCCTAGATGACTGGCCTCCACCAGCATCCTCATCTCTGTCCCTGGTCCCCAGCTTTAGCCTCACTCTTACATGCTGGACCACTTCTGTGCAGCGCTCAGACTTGCTGTGCTTCTGTGTCTCATGTGCTCCTTGGCTACATGGAATGCTCCCACTCACCCAGCAGCCTCCCACTCCTCATTTAAGATGTAGATTAAGTGTTGCCTCCTCCTGGAATCCCACCCAGAACTCTCCAGGGGGGTTGCCTCTGTGCTGATGTTGCACCTTGTTCCTACCCCTCCAACAGCACTCATGAGAATGTGTTGTAATCATTTGTGTATTAATCCGCCTGTATGAGATGCAAGGCAAGATTTGCATACTTGTGTTTGTATCTCCCCAGCATCTAATAGGAACACCAGTTTATGGTATATACTTAGAAGAATTTGTTTAATAACTGAATAATCATAGTCCACATATTAGAACACACATCTTCTTTAAAAATAAGTCATGGATCTTAATAGGCAACAGCTTGAATTTCCTCCTATGCAACTGCTCACCATACCATCCCCACTTACCTCCCCAACCTTGAACCCCAGCACAGAGGAGCCAGGTTCTCTGTGGTTTCCTCACAAGCTTTCTCATGATAAAATGTATAATCTGAGGGATCTTGACTAAGCAGTTTTGCCTACCTCCCTCGGAGAGCTGGAAACAGTAGAAATTAGGATCTAGAAGGCTTTGCATATGCAAGTTGGGATGGAAGCAGGCACAGAAAGGTGGGGATAGCCTAGCTTAAGTCCATATTTCAGTTTAGAAGGAAAGATCTAGGGCATGCTGTCAGGACAGGAGTGATCCATTACAGAGCGTGCTACCTCCCCAGCTTCCAGTGTCTGGGAGACAGATTGTAGAAGGGAGGGCTGAGGATGTCTCAGGTTTAGTGTTCTTGGATCAGAAGGCACACTAGAATGCCTGAACTCTTAATAGTCAAATTTTAAGAACAGAGAGAGGCTTCATCCCTGCTTTCCCCAATAAAGGAGAATAATTCCATCACCACTAGTTTCTATTTCCTATAATTTCTTTTCTTTCTTTTTTT